GAATACGGTGTTGATTTGGAGTAGGATCAACCCCTCACACACATAGCGAAACCTGCAGCTTTGACCACTACGCGAAGTACAACTACGAAGTTATCATTTAGTTTGAAAGCATTATTATTATTATTATTAAAGCGTGAAATCATGTTTCAAAAAGAAATAGTACTAAACCGGGAGGGCAGAAATACAATATTAACAAAACGAGAATACAAGTCGACTAATTACATTTAACTCTTTTTACATGTGCGCTTTTGGTTAAAAATTGCAATAAAAATATTTTTGAAGTGTTTCGCTCACTGGGGCTGAATAACGTAAATCCTACGCAAAAGAATTGTTGCCACTTACAATTTCTTAAATTGTTGCTTTCAGAACTTTACTATGTCTAAACAGAAGTTCGCTGCATCTTGAGTATTTTCGACAACTTAAGAATTGTATTTTGTGATATTATTCAGCAGTATGTATATTTCCTATTCTACTACCAAACCTGGTTGGGTTTCGCCCAGTAGTACATGATACTCTAAAAAAAATTGTATAGCAACAAATATGCAGATTACCCTTTGCATAAAAATTAAATAGTTTCTTTAAGTGGATTATTGCAATCTCTTTAAAAAAAAAAAAAAAAGAGAGAGAGAGAGAGAGAGTTTCACCGGTTCAATTGTCAAATAGACTCCTTTGAAGTCTTCTTGAGAGCGCAAGAAGCTCAATAAACTCCAGCGCCCTCACCAAATAGTTCGCCTGGCTTCAAGTTTCAGGTTCGAGCTTTTCTTTGTAATTTTTACAAAAAAAACCTCGCGCCTTTTCAGAATAGTTGATTGGTGAAAGATGGCCTTGTATTTTGGTTTAACTATTCTTTTCGAAAGAAGCTTTAATGCACGATGACGCGAGACGGTGTCTTCTTGTGGAAATATGTAGCATCCATTGGACTCAGAGGCTCCGTCTTTGTAATGAAGTTCCATTCGACGGTGGGTATCTGACAATTCAAATCAAAGATCTTGTTATCGTTGCATGAAGATAAAAACTTGGCAGCATTTAGCCGCGATGTTCGGGCTTCGCCATAAAGTCGCAAATGCGTTGTGGAGCAGTTGCTGTAAGGATTCATGAAGTCGTTCATTTTGCTCGTGTGGGTCTTTTGGCTCAGTCATTTCTGCAATCTAGAATCGAGGGTTACTATTCGTAAGATGGTTTTTCGAGATGTTTTTTTTTGTAGTTCTTTCATCGCATGCTGTATAGTGTACACGACCCAATCAATCTGTGGTTCTCGAGCTGATGCACTTGTACATCCAGCCACTACAGGTTTCCAGTGTAAGGACTGTTGCTGCTAATATAAAACCTACCCGCTAGTAAATACACCACTGGTTATCGTGCCCTGAAAGCTCTCCATAACCCATCCATAGATTTCCGCCGGAGGCGTTCTGACTTATATTTCCATGCATAAACCTACGATTCTAGTCTGAGGGTTCTTTTTCATGCGATTGAGATCGTTTCTACTTTGTAAACTCCTGCAGCAAATACAGCTTCTCGCCTTGTTTGTTCATTACTGACGTCATGTTGAAAGACAGCCCTGTTTCGTAGTATATCCTTCTCAGAATACAGTTCAATAAATCTTTGTTAGACGTTAGTTATTTCTAGACTCGTAGCACTTTCGTCTGCTTCGAGACATTTGGTGACCTGACGACCCCATGGAGATGGCATTGGATTATTTTTAGACTATGAATCTGATACTTATCACATTGACGGCGATAGAGCTCAACCAAGTACGTCTCAAGAAACCGTTGGTCTGGGCCCGTTATTCAAATCTACACAGGCAATTTTTACGCAAGCGATGAAAACGTTAGAGCGCATTCGCATGAGCACGGAGGCGTTGAGATGGCGTCTCCGTATACTGAAAACGAACCGCGAGAACT